ATATTCACAAGAGACGTACCTTGACATAACCTTAAATCCGTCGCATTGTCCGTGGGATTGTTTTCACTCATTTTTTACAATTGTTATCCACTAAGTTTGAAAATAAAAAAATACTACCCTATTAAATTATATGTGTATCAAAACAAAATAAAAAAATATTTATAGAAAAACAAAAGTTTTATGACTTTTATTATTTTTATGCTAGTGAGAACCAAAACAATATGGGAATGAATGAGGGAAAACTGGATCCTACCACGTGATTTACCGGCCAATAAAAATGTAGCGTTAAACGTTTAACGCAACCTTGTTGGAAGTCGCATAAGAAGTATAACTTCAATAAAATCAGAGACAAATTTTCTTATTTTATCAATTATTTTAGTTTTTAAATTTTTAATAGGTTTACATCTTCATATAAGTTAACACAATATTTTCTACAAAAATAGTTGTATTATAATATGCATCTTGCCACCCACTTGTTCTGTTTCATTGCCACAAACTGTAGCAAAGAATTTAGTGATACTCTATCGCGGGATCAGCAACGAAATTTTTAAAAGAAACAATATCCTCAAAATTTCTTTTCTTCAAACTTAGATCGAAAATATAAACAAAAGGTATATCTGAGACTAAAAAGAAAAAATCGAAGGTATAGAAAAAAATTGTTTAATTGCAAATTTTATAGTTTTGAAAACAAATTGCTCACTTTCAATTGCATTATTTCTTAGAAAGATATATTTCTTGCTATAACAACTAGTGTTAAAAATTCATGAACCACATAAAGTCTATTAAAATTTGATTTTGTGAAGTCAAACAGATTATTACATCAAAATTAAAAGTAATACAATTAAGAGTTATCAGGATTTTTATTGTGCTTAAGCAAATTTGGTTCCATATATTTAGCTCCTGATCAAGATTCGAATTGGAAAAATTTTCCTTGAGATGATATTAAGTACTTAATTATAAGTAACGCATATCACAAATTAAATTGTATCGATATCTTTCGATACAAGAATAAATATCACAGATAAAATTGTATATTAAAGTGTAAAATTGTAGATTAAAGTTGTATATTAAGGTTGTAAATTAAGGTGTAGTGTATATTAAGGTGTAAAATCCTGTTTTTTTTCACCTTATTAAACACTCATTTCCATAAATATTAGCGTACCCAGAAAGACTTGTCAGAAGGAAACGAAATTTTACATACGTAAGCATAACGTTAATATAAGAAAGTGATTAAAAAATCTAAGAAAAAATATCATTCATTGCAGGAAAAATACAAATGAATGGAGGTGTTATTTCCCTCATGGTCCACCTATAGCACGAAATGAGGAATCAATACGGTTGCGCATTGATACACACAATACTCTTACGATGTCCTGTGGCATCGCGTTCTACAGCTGCTGCAAAATCACCGCTATATCGACAAAACTCGGAAGCTGTACAAATTGTTGTCCCCAATGGTCATAGATATGCTCGTTCGGTGACAAATCTGGGGATAAAGCAGGATAAAGACGGGTGGTATTATGATGGAGACATTTCTGTGAAATCTTTACTGTGTGTGGCCGAGCATAATGCTGTTGGAAAATGGTTTTTAGGAGCCTTGCCATGAGTGACAGCGAATATGGCCGAAGGATGTCACGGATGTACTGCGGGGATATTAAAGGTGATCGAGTGTGGTATACGATGACCCCAATTCCATGACATCACTTGTAGAAGTGGTTTGCTGCTGTACACCGTAGGCAAGAATGAGGCGTTCACCACGGTGCCTCCATACTCGCACACGATGGTCATCACTGCTCAAATTAAAACTAGATACATCTCTGAAGACGACCTCATTACATTCTGTTAAAATCCAATTCAAATGAGAGCGACACCACACCACCATTTCAGCGACGCCATTTTAAAGTTGAGTTTAATTGCATACTTGTGTTTAGTGGAAGGAATCGAAATTCAATTCGAAAAAGCCATATTTCTATTTCTTTTCCAATTCTTTATTTATTAATTAATTTTTCCGCTTGCTCAATAGCTAAACGCCAATTGAAATAAAATAAAATAAAAGCTACGTAAGTTTAGAATAAAAAATGAAAATTCAAATCTAAAAGCCAAAATGGAAACTAATATTGGAAAATTTTTTAAGTTAAATTTCTTCTTCTAATTTTTACCCAGAAGTAAGCACGTTTAAATTATCAAATTCAATCTGAAGGAAAATTTTAAATAACATATGCCAGTTTTAAAAATTCAAATCACAAAGATTTAAACTGAAACGTAATACCTTGAAAAAGATTCACTTACATCACTTAAGCTAGAAAAAGAATGCACTCTTAGAAACAGCCGAAGATATACACAAAAATTAACATCGAACCTTTTCATTAAAATAATTCAATTTTTTTTTTATTTAATGAAAGGAGAATGTTTGGTTTTGGTCCTACCCAAAAGACGGGGGGAAATATTACTTTTGTTAACTTTTTGGAATAAAAAATTCAAAAAGTTTACATTTTATCAAGAAACTAAGAAATTTTTTTAAAAAAGCTCATGTTTCTTTAATCCTCATCCATAATAGTGAATGTGGCTGCAAAACAAAAATTCTCTTTTACGCCAAATACTTTCTTTTTTACATCAGAAAATCTGAAAAACCATCAATATAAAC